CCGAAGACCCAGGCCTGGGGTGCTGGAAGAAGTGCTTTTGGGTACAGTCTCTCCAGGGGCCACGACAGCAGGCGGACCATCAAAAGCCTGAGAGACGCCCCGCTCTGGGCTGACAACTGCAAGTCTAGGCTTCTTGGCTCGGTCCTCAGGGCCTTGACGCCCCCCCCCCCGCCTCTCCCCACCGCCACCGGGGCCCGTTGGGTCTCACTCCATGGCAGTTTGAGCTCTGTTTCCAGGAGTTGGAGAGTGGCAGCCACAGGGCTTTGGGGCTCCCGAGCCTGCTGCTGGACTGTCTGACAGAACGTCCCGAAGATGAAACCGAAACAACCACGGGTGTAAAACCCCCACCTGGACCGGTGCGTAACAGGTGTGTAATAAGCAAGGTCTGTTGTTACTTTCGTTCCTTTAAGTGATGAAAAGGGATTTTCTACTTAACCCTGTTTTCCCCAAGCCAGTGACCTCTAAGATGTCTTTCACCCTTGACGGTCAACAAAGTTCCGAGGAGACCCGCCCCAGAGCCTCCTCTGGTCCCGTAATCTTGTTTTTGTTTTTGTTTTTGAGAGGTTTTTGCTAAAGAGTATGTGCACTCGCCAGAAAGAGAGAGACAGAGAGACTGAAAGTGAGAAATCACCCCCAGGGAGGATGGCCATGCCGCAATCCCTTCTCCTCCATTCTCGTCTCGGGATCTTGGGCATGCACGCACACATGCCCGGTGTGAGTTTTAAGCTACCGGGTCCGGGACACGAACCACGGTCGACTACATGGGAGTCCAGCTACATAGCCATTACACTAACTACTGGTCCCTGGTCCTGTAATCTTGAGAAATTGCCTCTCAGCTCCGTCAGACCACACCAGCCCTTCCCAGAGCGTAAGCCTCCTGTCCCTGTCTTGGCGGGCAGGGGCACCAGAGGTTTCGAGCTGCAGAACCGACATGGAGCCCCGGGTAGGCCAAGGAGCTCCAAGAGGCCACCTCCAGGGCGGTGCCAGCCACAGGGTCCTGCCTTAAAGACAGGCCCAGCAAGGAGATGCTGAGGGAGCCTCCACCGCATTCCCTCCTGTGGCTCACAGCACACCCAGATCTGGCTGGCTGCCTTCTCCACCTGGGTGACGAGGTCTAGGCTGAGGCCAAGGGCCTGCATGACCCTCCCAGTCATCGTCCTATTGCCAAGTCCACCCTGCTCGGCTGAGCCTGCCCGCTCTCGCCCCACAGCGTCCTGGTCCTTCCAAACTTCTGGGCCTCGATTCCTGCCACAGGCCGCCACACATGTCCTGCCCCTGCGCCTGCACAGTGTCCCACCTGGGCTCTGGCTTCCACTCTTACCACTGGGGTCGTTTTCCACGGGAAGTGATTTTTTCCAATAAAAATGCAGCCATGACACTCCCGTGACTTCCTTCAGCACCAGGACTGGAAGCCGCCATAGCGCTGGCCCCAGCTGCCTCCAGCCTCTTCCCTGTCCTGCTCCTCCGGCCTCCATCCTCCCGCCAGGTCTGCACCTGGCTCTTGTCTCTGCTGAGCCCAGCTGTCACCTGCTGGATGCCCATGAAAGCACCACCCCACAGGCTGTTTGTGGACTGTGGGATGGAGGCCGGGGGTGGGCACCCCCCAGTGGAGGAGACTATGCTGAGAGGCAGCTCCACTGCCGGCATCCACCGGAGTGGTCAGGAGAGAAGACAGGACACCCAGCCTCCTAGAGAGGACGGTCACCGGGACCTCAGGGCACCAAGGACACCTTGCCAGACGAGATGTCTATGGGAACTGGGAGGCGCCCACCCACGTGAGAAATCGTGTGCAGAGAGCCAGGTGCCAGACAGTGAGGACCACACGCCGACGTTTGGGTTAGAAAAGAAAATGCATGTAATTGCGTGTGCGTGCCCAGAATATCTCTTCATGCACACCTAATTGGTAATGAGGTTTGTCTCCAGCTGGGGGGTGGGGGGACTAGGGGCTGAGAGCAGCGTGGGCGGGAAGTGCACCCCTCTGTGTCCCTGCTGCGGGCTCCAGTCCACACCAAACTGTAATAATACCGATGCCCGACCTGGCATGATTCTGCTTGCTTGTTTGTGGGTCTCTGCAACGCAGGAACTTGTCGCTGTGATCCGCTGCTGCGGCCCTCCCCCTGCATCATCATAGGTGCTCCACAAATACTTGCTGACTCCCGAACAACGGGGACCCTGCAACGTCACACTCCCTAAGGTGGTGAGGCCCCATCAGGCAGCGAGGGCATGGCCTACCACCCTTAGTCCACAGCCATCCATGTCCCACCACAGGAAGTTTCGAACACTCCCCACAGCCAGGCAGGATGGTCCCACAGGGAATCCAGTGTGTGCCTGCCTGGGGCAGCCGGGGACACAGGGCATCCAGGGGCCAGGGGCAGAGCCCTCACCTCGTCCTCGGGGTCCGAGGCCCCGGCCACGCAGGGTGTGCAGAGAATACGCTGGAGCTCTGTTTGGCGCAGAGGAGACTGACGCCCTGAGAATCCTGTGCCAGGCAGCACGTCCGTTTCTTTCTGGGTCCTTCCCAAGGCTCATCGGGCATTAACCTTCCTCTCTGATACAGGTGTAAGAGCCTTCAAAACAGCCCCTGCCTCCACGGTGTCAGCCAATTAAAAGCCGCAGTGCACAGAGCACCGCCTGAGGGTTCCGGCGAGTGCAGGGCATTATGGGAGCACTGGGAGAGAGGTCTGAGTCTGCCCAGGGTCAGGGGTAGATTGAGCTCTGAGCCTGCAACTTTAAACTGGTAGTCACGATTTCATGGGTGCCAAAAACACTGCCCCAGGCCAAAAACGGAAGTGAGGAAATTGTTCTCTCAGCTGCCAAGAGAGCTGGGAATAGCGCCTTTAGAGCTCCTGCAGTGAACCTCTGCTGCAGCCACGGCCGCTGGCTCTTGTCCCTCCTGGGAGGCCGGGCACGCACCCTCCCAAGGCAGCAGCTCTGTGTGTGTGGCTGAGGGTTACGCCTGACTCCCAGTGGGCTCCCAGGGCAGGGTCCAGGGCACCTTTGGCTCCGTGTTATATACCAGGGTTAGCATGGCGGTGGACAGGTGGGAGAGATGAGTGGAGGAGTGGAGGAGGGAAGGGTAGGAGGGAGGATGGGCGAGGGGGGTGTGGATGGGATGACTGGGTGGCAGACGAGTGGATGAATGGAGAGTGGACGAGGCCTCCCTGGGTGTGCTGGGCACGTGTACATCATCCAGGGCTGGGGGAGGATCATGTTGTCACAGCCCTGCTGGGGGTGCTGCCTCTCTGTCTTTCTCTCACTCATGGAAGATATGTTAAAAAAAAAAACCCGGTTCCCAAGGACTGAGGGAGCCCGCGGAGAGCTGGCGTCTGGGGTTGCAGGAAGGGAAGTTCAGTGCATGATCTTTTAAGGAACAGAGCTTCCATCTGGAAATCTCAAAGCACTACGAAAGGCTCACTGCTTGGTCTTCAGAAAAAGGGTTTTCTCTGGACAAAGACAAAACCGCTGGGATGTGGGAAGATGCCTCCCTGAAGTGACATCCTGAAAAGTCCCCACACTGCCTGGAGGGCACCCTGCTGGGGCGGGGGGCCAGGGCCAGGGGTCAGTCTGGGTGGGCAATGGGTCTGGCGGAGGGCTCTGGGTCCTGAGCGGAAAGCGCACCTGTAAGGATGGGGCCACGCTCCGAGGAGCAGGGGAACGGCGTTGGGGAAGCAAAGAAAATGGCCCTGAATCTCGCTTCCAGGTCAGAGGCCTGAATACCAGAGCTCGGAGTCATTAAACGTGAGCCCAGAGAAGCAACCGATTGGGAGCCCTAGGTAGGGAAGGGAGTGAGCCCAAGCACCAGGCCTGGACAGGTCCTGACTTAAAATAATAAAATAATAATAATAATAATAAATGGAATTAAATAAATAAATAATTCTACAAAAAAGAGAGAGAGAATTTTCAAGTGGACAGATGACGCAAGGTGGACAGTCAGCCTCCCCCAGGCCGACCATCAGCCCCGGGATCAGCCCAGCCCCTCCCCAGTGGCCGTCTAGCCACCCAGAGATATTCTATCTGTATACGGCCATGGTGTGTGTAGTCTTTGGCCGAAGACAAAAGAGAAATTGTTTGTGACACTTGAAATCATTCTGTCATCAGCTCAGACTGGTTAGCAGCAGTGGCTAGGGCAGGACAATCACAAGGGAACAGCTGAGGAAATTCTGTCTTCCTGAAGACTTTCTTAAATGTTGGTGTCTTCCTTCACTGGATTTTCTTCAATCATTTGTGAAATAAGTTTTTGAAACATTTGCTACAGGGTGTGTGAACTCCCTGGAGGGAGACAGACAGAGAGAGGAAGAGGAAAAGCGAGAAAGCGCCCCCAGGGGGATGGTCATACCGCAATCCCTTCTCCTCCATTTCTCTTTTAGGAATTTCAGTATGTTTTTCAAACCATAGGGTCAGGGACTCGAACCGCACAGTCAGCCATGCAGGATCTGGCTGCCTTAACCACCATGCCGCCAGTGGGGCCAAGAGGGATGTTAGTGGATGGGAGCCGTAGAAGGTCTTCTGCTGGCCCAAGTGTGGGCCGAGGAGTGGAATAAGCAGGAGAGGTGCTACACGCGGCAGGGTTCTGTGCTGTGGGGTGCTGGGCCGGGTACACGGTGGCCAGACGGAGGCGACCTCGGTGCAGCCCGTGAAGGGCTCAGTGAAGATCCAGCCACTGGGGTTCTGCGCAGACTCGTAAGAACTTAATCCGGGCTGCGGCAGGCCCCTCAGACAAGCAGCCTGGGCGATACCTGTGCCAGCCCAGTGAGCAGCCAGGCTAACCTCTGACCCCCACTGATCTGCCTGTGGTGTGTCTAGAATCTGATAACAGGATCATTATGATCGGGGCGCATACAATGGCCTTTGCCACCTTCCATCAGTTCTGCAGCTTATGGGCGGGGCTGGAGCCTACGCTGATTATCTTACTAAATGGCTGAAATCTCTCGTAGTTGGGCCGCCCATTTCAAATGCTTTGGGCACTTTTGTATTTCTTTCTTTCTTTATTATTTTCTTTTTAAAATATGGAATGCTTAACGAATGTGCGTGCCACGCTTGCGCAGGGCCATGCTAATCTCCTCTGTATCGGTCCAATGTTAGTGTAAGTGCTGCCCACACGGGCACACTTTTCTATGGATTCTCAAGTTGCTTTTTAACACTCTGTGGGCTTGCTTATCAACATACTATGCTAGAAAGAAAGGATCGATTATGTTTTTGTTTTTGTTTTTGTTTTAGAGGTTTTTGCTATAGGGCACATGCACTTTGTCAGAGAGACAGAGAGAGAGAGACAGAAAATGAGAAATCACCCCCTAGGGGGGATGGCCACACCGCAATCCCTTCTCCTCCATTCTCCTCTCGGGATCTTGGGCACGCACACACATGCGCCCGGCGTGAGTTTAAGCCACTGGGTCTGGGACTCGAACCACAGTCAGCTACATGGGAGTTCGTGCTGTGGGGTGCGGGGCCGGGTACACGGTGGCCAGACGGAGGCGACCTCGGTGCAGCCCGTGAAGGGCTCAGTGAAGATCCAGCCACTGGGGTTCTGCGCAGACTCGTAAGAACTTAATCCGGGCTGCGGCAGGCCCCTCAGACAAGCAGCCTGGGCGATACCTGTGCCAGCCCAGTGAGCAGCCAGGCTAACCTCTGACCCCCACTGATCTGCCTGTGGTGTGTCTAGAATCTGATAACAGGATCATTATGATCGGGGCGCATACAATGGCCTTTGCCACCTTCCATCAGTTCTGCAGCTTATGGGCGGGGCTGGAGCCTACGCTGATTATCTTACTAAATGGCTGAAATCTCTCGTAGTTGGGCCGCCCATTTCAAATGCTTTGGGCACTTTTGTATTTCTTTCTTTCTTTATTATTTTCTTTTTAAAATATGGAATGCTTAACGAATGTGCGTGCCACGCTTGCGCAGGGCCATGCTAATCTCCTCTGTATCGGTCCAATGTTAGTGTAAGTGCTGCCCACACGGGCACACTTTTCTATGGATTCTCAAGTTGCTTTTTAACACTCTGTGGGCTTGCTTATCAACATACTATGCTAGAAAGAAAGGATCGATTATGTTTTTGTTTTTGTTTTTGTTTTAGAGGTTTTTGCTATAGGGCACATGCACTTTGTCAGAGAGACAGAGAGAGAGAGACAGAAAATGAGAAATCACCCCCTAGGGGGGATGGCCACACCGCAATCCCTTCTCCTCCATTCTCCTCTCGGGATCTTGGGCACGCACACACATGCGCCCGGCGTGAGTTTAAGCCACTGGGTCTGGGACTCAAACTGTGGTTGACTACGTGGGAGTCCAGCGACGTAGCCATTACGCCATCTGCTGGACCCAAGATTGATTATGTTTAAAAGCAGCCGGCCCTGGTCACTGTGTGTATAGATGTTGTGTTCAATACAACTGCAGGAAAACTTGGGGAAAAAGAAATAGAAGAGTTGGCCCAGCTCACTCGGGGTGTGGGGTGCAGAGGTGCAGGGGCGGAGCAGGGGGAGGGGCCTCGAAGCCCTGCCCTGGCCCTCACTCCCCTACAGAAACAATCAGCACTTACCCTGCCATGGGCTGGCCGTGGGCCCTCTTCCTGATGGTACAGTGAGCAGGCTGGCTTTTACACTTTTAGCCCCCACACAGGCGCATCGATAAGCGGACACGTAATAATCCCCGCAGCAGAAGCCCTGGACCGGCTGGAGTGACGCCGGCCGTGTTTCCCGGTGTGGATGGCGGCATTCCCCACTCCCCACCAGAGGCCAGCTGCCACCCAGCCGCCCCCTTCCAAGTGATGACGCCCCAAATACGTCTCCGGTCATTGCCGATCCTCCAGAGGGAAGCCCCCCAGCATGCCCCCTGCGGGCTCACTGGTCTCCCACTCTAACCCCTGCCCTGAGGGGAAGTGGAGGGTCAGGCCAGGGACTGGGTCCCAAATAGTGACAGAAAGTTGCCACTGTGACCATCTCCATCAGCTCAAGGGAAATCCTCGCCCCGCCGCCCCCCAGAGCTGGCCCAAAAGCTGCGTCCTGCTCTGAATGAGGGACCTAAGTGGGCGCCGTGCCCTCCCCAGGGCCAGAGGACTGCCCGGTCCAGAGGTGCGACCTTGTCCTTGCTCAAAGGGCACTGGAGGCGCCTATCTGACCCGCTGCTCGGGCAGCCCCCCAGAAAAATGCCTCGGCACCTGCTCTCATCTCCCCCTGCCTGCTACCACCCCCTCAGGTGACCAGGAGCCCGTCTCCGGCCTCCCTGCCTCCCCATGGCCAGGCCGGAGCCCCATGAGCTGTCCCTGCAAGTCCACCACGTCTCCCGGCCTCTCCCATCTCTCAGACCAGCTACACTGTCTCTGGCCTTCTCTCCACTCCTGTGCTGCGTCCACCCAGGCTTGTGTGCTGGCTCACTGCGCCCATCCAGGGCAAATGTCCCCTCTTCTGACACTCCAGCTAAGACAGCCCTGCTGGCCCCCGCCGCCTCTGTCACAGCCCTTGGCTTACTGCAGTGTAGGCTAGCGTGTCGGAAACGCCATCCGACTGCTGTCTCTGGCTGGCCCCCACCCCCAGCAGGAACCCTGAGGACCTCCGTCTGTCTGTGATGTTTGTCTGCAGCCCATGGCCGGCCTTGAAGACGGGACAACTTCAAACAGGCCCCTACGGGTGGTGACTAATTAAACAAATCCACGAGCGTTTAGGAGATCAGTCTCGGATCGGAACACCTTGGCACCTGGAGGATCCCTCACCTGACTGCGCATTAATCTGCCTCTGTAAAAGATGATGTGAGTTCTAGGAGCTTTCTGCGACATAGCGCTTCCCACCAGTCACTGTGGGGCTGACAGAGGGAGGAGGAGGCGGCTGGAGCTGGCCCTGTGCTTGGACTAAAGATGACAGAGGCGGTGACACAGGTGACACCTAACAGGACAGACGCTGGCCAGGGGTGAGGCACTGGCAGCTGGATACAGGCGAGCCCGCCCCGCCGAGTCAGTGCAGGCTCCCAGGCCCTGGGAGGCCCACCGCGCTCTGGCACCTGCAAATCCAGCAAGAGAGGGGTTGGTGCCAGGTGGCTGCTGCAAACAGGGCACCGCCAGGAGCCAGGCAGGATGCCGCGTGCTCCGCGCTCCACCGCCACCTTGTCTGCCTCCATGTCACCCTCACTGGAGGGCAGCTCAGACCCCCACTTCGGAGATGAGATAACAGAGCTCAGAGAGGTGAAGACACTTGCCGTAGGCCACACAGCCAGGAAGTGGCTGCCTCGGGCCACATGCAGGCCTTCCTGTCTCGGGGCAAAGCTCTCAATCACAGCCTGGTGTGTCTCAGAGGCCAGAGTGCCCCACGTGTTGCCTGGCTTTTTTTTGTAAGAATTATTTATTTATGTACTTTCATTTGTTACTATTATTTTTTAATTTGACCAGAGAGAGACAGAAAGAGAGAGAAAGGAAAAGAGAGAAACCGAGCTGCCAGGTCGGCCGCGTGGCCCCCACACAGCCTGCCGGCCCCTCACCCCAGCCTTGAACTGAACGGTCTCAGTGCCGCATCTCTTCACAGCTCCGGCCTTTCCATCCCCACCTGACTCAGGTAAAATGACGTACATTCGCCGCCATGCTCCAGTTCTCTGACCCTGACCAACTGCTTACCAACTGCCACGCGCCACGTCCTATTCCAGGCCGTGGTCAGCAAATTCAGCCCGTCACCGGTTCGTGTATGAGACTGTTGTGTTCGTAGACTGCTCAGAAGAGCTCAGAGAAGGAAAAAGGTTTGTAGCCCGTGATCTCAATAGGAGGCAGGTTTTTGTTGCTGTAACGTTTATTTATTTCTTCCACGAGAGGGACAGTCTTCACACAGCAGTCACCGCAGCTCCAGCCTGCCTCACACAGCCGTGTGTGCCCAGTGTGTTCAGGGAAGTCCCGGCATTCGAACCCAGGACCTTAACTCTGTAGGTCCAGCTGAGCCACCACCACCTCAGGGCAGTTTAGATCATCCACTTACCCAGGAGTGACGTGAGCAAGGGGCTAGCAAACCCGAGAGACCCATCACTGTATCCACACCGCCCAGGAGCCGAGAACTGTGATTCAAACTGTAGTCTGCCATGTGGGACCCACACGCCCTGGCTATGGGGCCAGCCGTCTCTCCGTTTTTGACTCCTTGTTTTCTTCCTCACATACTCAGCCATCTCCCTTCTCTGCCCTCTTCTTATTTGATCCTCTCAATAACTTTGCAAAGTAGGTATTATTATTATTATTTTCTGTTTTGCCATAGGGCGTGTGTGCTCACCAGAGACAGAGAGAGAGAGAGTACCCCGGGGGGCAGTGACCACACTTCAATCCCTTCTCCTCTGTTCTCCTCTCAGGAGTTTTGGGCCTGCGGAGACACATGCCCAGCATGGCTCTTAGGCCGCCCGACCCCCAGGTAGGTATTACGCATGAACTGGGGACAAGCCCTGGGAGTGTGCAGCGGGTGGCACAGTGGACTCCCAGGTGGCCAGCTGCAGTTCAAGTCCTGGACCTAGCAGTTTGAAACTCATACCAGGTACATACGCACACATGCCCAAATCCCAGGAAGAGAATGGAGAAGAGATGACGGCGAGGTCATGTCCCCAGAGGGTGATTTCTCACTTTCCCTCTCTCTCTGTCTCTCTGGTGCGCACACATGCCCTACAGCAAAATCTTAAAAAAGGAAAGGAACAAACGACCCAAACTCATACCAGCAACAAACAGTGGGGACAGGCCTGGACTGCGGCATCCTGCCAAGCGGGAGAAGCCAGACCAAAAAAAAAAGAAGGGAAGGAGAATGCAGCATTCCGTGGGCAGCCCTTTATGTCAAGTTGTAAACGTGCAGCAAACCCACAGCGACCAAGAGCAGGTCAGTGGCTGAGCTGGGAAGACCAGCAAGAAGAGGAGGGGTGGAGGGAAGGGCGATAAGAGCACGCAGGGCAGGTGGCGCTGGACTCCCGCATGGCCAACCATGGTTCGAGTCCCAGTCTGGAGGCTTGCTTTCTCATTTTCTCTCCCCCCCCTCAGGAAGTATTAAATAATAATAATACTAAAGTTAAATAAAATAATTCTTTAGGAAAAAACATAAGTGTAGAAGGCTGTTTTGGGGACGTGTCCGTTACTCCGATGGTGCACTTCAAAACAGTCCTGTGTCATG